GATCAAAATGGCCAAAAGTCTTAAAATAAAAAAGCTCATTTCTGATTGGCCGGTTCCTGACCAATGAAATCTCGGTCAAAAAAATGGGCTTCGGATTCGGATTCAGGGCCCTCCATAACCTACAGCAAAGTTTCATCAAAATGATGGGATGTTGAATTGCAGTGGGACGAGACAATAGACAAAATTCTTCTCTTTCGATCTACAAAACATAGACCTATCTACTATTTTCTATTCAAGACTAATAAGTGCTTTCTTAAGAGTACCGATCCGTACAAAGATGGTGACTACGCTGAGTTCAATGGTTATTCTTATTTTCAACTTCAGTAAGAATTAGAAGGTAAGGAGAAACACAAATAGTTTCGAAAATCTAGTTTCTGTTCGACTAATTGCTTTGTCAGGCGCGATTGACAAAGAACTCATCACGATCAAAGAAGTTCAATAGTGTAATCTCTTCCTGTGACTCAAAGATCGAACAAGAGTGAATCATGAAATTATTGTCGAGTTGTGTTTGTTAATTTGTGATAGAATAAAACCTTCAGATCTCGCAAAGCTCTCTTGGGTTGTTGCATCACTTGAAATGACATCTTATTGAAACAACAGATCTTGTTTCTTTCCAAATAAAAACAACTAAATGCTGCATACTTAATGCGACTGATTGATGCAACTTCTCCGTCGCACCGACTTATCGCTGGATTTGTGATAAATCAAGCACCAATTAAGTGCGTCTTAATCGTAAGATAACAGTTTTTGAGTGTAACTGATAACAGAACGTCAAAGAAAAAGAGACGTCCACGTAAAATATTCGAAATAGAGTGATGAATACTGAAGATATTGGATTTAAAGAACCAGAATAAATGGGAAAAGACGTTATTCAAATTGACTTCGGTGAAACTGACAATGTTGCCTGAGATGAAAGCATCTTATTATTTTATCTGCTTGGCGACTTTTATAGCTGTCGAAGCGAGAATGATACGAACTCAGACTGGTGATCTTGCTGGCTTGACATCGAACGGAGTCGACATTTATTTAAGCATTCGTTATGGACAAGTTGTTAGATGTTGGTCACCAGCCTCATTATCACGCTTCTGGATCGGTGTAGTTAATGCTACAGTGTTTGGACCAGTTTGCCATCCGTATGGTCCTCATGGTCAACCGGAAATAGGTGAGGAAAATGAGGATTGTTTGTTTCTAAATATTTGGGTTCCTTAAAACAACCATTCATTATTGCCAGTACACGTGTGGATTCATGGAGGCGGTTACACTTCTGGTAGTGGCAATTTCTATGATGGGACTGATCTCGCTCGTTTGTCTCACTCTATTATTGTAACAATCAATTATCGTCTCGGTATCTTCGGGTTCTTCCCATTACCCAATGTCAAAACGAGAAACATTGGTTGGCTTGATCAACAACTAGCACTGCAATGGGTGCAGAATAATATTGCATCGTTCGGTGGTGATAAGATGAATATGATGATATTTGGTCAATCAGCTGGTGGAGGTTCTGTCGGCGCTCATTTGTTGATGCCATCCAGCTGGCCATTGTATTCATCGATTGTGCTGCAATCATCAGGACCTTATCGCTTGTTGGAATGTCAACAGGTAGAACAGAAAAATAGGCAAATGCTTGAAAATTCGTTTCTTGAATGCCAATCGAACATTACTTGTTTTCAAGAATTACCTGCTAGGCAACTTAGCCAAAAGCTGAAGCCACATTGGATAGACTTGTGGCCTTGCGTTGGTATTGGTTCACAATTAGAAGAACAACCATTAGCCTTGATTCGCAAAGGTGAATACAATCAGAATGCATCCGTTCTAGTTCGATTCAATACAAATGAAGGTCAAACTAGTGTATTGCTATTCAATCAATATCAATTGTCAATCTCTTCAGACGAATACCGTCCTTGGGCTTCACAATATCAGATCCCAGATGATCTCATCGATCTATGTGATCCCACTGAGACAAACAAAAACTACTTTGACGCACTCAGTTGGTTATTCGGTGATTACTATATATGTTGTCCGAGTATATTTCTTCTAGATCATTTATCAAAGCTACCATCTTCAGTTTACGCGTACCTGTTTGCACATCCTACAGAACATTGGAATTATACATCCTATCATTTCAATGCTACTCATTTCACTGAATTGCCTTATGTATTTCACAATGATTTAGAAGGGACCAAATTCACACCTGCTGAAGCTATTCTTTCTTCGAAACTCATTCATTATTTTAGTTTGTTTCATCTGCGAGAACAGCCATGGCTATCCTATCAAATGAATCAGACAGTTCTTGTGTTTGATGTAGGTAGATTAACATACCGAGCAGGTATCGAAGATCGTCTAAAAACACGCTGTCCTTTCATGCTCAAATATCTGGACAGTGGTGATTGCCGAGCTTATTTGACTGAAGTTCAATGTACAAAAATAGACGATTGTCAATGGTTACACAAACAGTGCGAATTTAGGATTAGCTCAACTGGTTTACTTTGCGAGTTCCACAAGTTTTTGTTTGTTATTATCATGATTGCCTACATTTATTGGTTCACTCGGTCTTACAAAAAATTTCTTCAACAGCGCAAGAGCATATTCAGATTACTGATAAAAATGATTTTCTTAACTTCTTTCTAAACAACTTCTTTTGTCAGAATTGTCGTTGAACTTTTAGAAAATTGGAAATCTGAACTATACGCTAAAATACAATGTGTCGCAATCATGTATTGTTAATAATTGTGTCATAGACTCTACCATGAAAATGTATCGCAATAGGAATTTTTATTTTTTCTTGATCAGTTATTGATCGAGAGCGTACCAATTGATCGATCGATGACCGAGAGAGGAGTGTCTCGAAGCGCTCTGGTCGAGTTCAGACGAATTTGAATTCGCTGGATTTCAAGATCTGACCGTCTTCAATTTTTACACTAAGTGTGATAAACTCGAATTAAATTTAAAACATGTCATATTTTCTTTTCGAGAAAAAAAGGGAAAAATGTCTTAAATAGTAGAATCAAATGACGTTTCGGAAATATATTGTGTGTAATGGAACGACTTATTTGTTCGGGTATAGGTATGGGTGTGACTGACAACAATACTCGTATCGACGGCAACACCACTCTTCCACATCTACATCCACACGCATCCATACCCACACCCACATAGTCAAGCTTATTTTGCTTTATGCTATGTGACACGATTATTACAAACAAATAACATCCTACCCAATAGTCAAAAGTCAATGTCGATTTGTATACTTTGGAATGCAAAGTTAAGTCGACCGAATGTTGAAAATCGTAATCATGAAATTACTGTACTCAAGATGATATTAAATAATTGGCAATCGCATGGTATTAATGTCAATTTAACCATTGTTGCTTTTCGAAGCGAACATGAAGAATCACGTTTATTTAACCTGCAAGAACAGGATAATTGGTCTAAGTTTATCCAGTTTTTAATAAATTTATCATACGATGATGCAACGAATCTATTTCAACTAGCTATACTTTCAACTAAGATTCTAAATGCAACACATTACTTTTTAATTAACGATTATCTTTCAACAATTGGCAATGAGGATTCAGTCCTATTGAACAACTAGACAACGAAAACAATATGGATATTTAATGCGAATTTCGTAATTGAGCCTACTAATTTTCTGTTGATTAATTATTTAGCGGATCTTAGTGGTGGTAGCTATATTTCGTTTGAGAAAAGCATGGCTCAAAATAATGCTAACGATATTGCTCAATGGATCGATAGGCCATAAACAAGATATTTCAATGCGAATCCAATCAATAATGCCAATATTTATGATATTTATCCGAGTCAGTCAGTTACATTAACACCTATTACAGAACGATTTATACTTGTTGGTAAAATGTCATCATCAGCTTCAGCTAATATTGCTGTTAATTTTTGTTATTTCGAATCAAATACATCGTCAAGAATTGAAGATTGAGTGTGTGGGGTGTGGGTGTTGATATTCTCTTCATCAAAACCCACGCTCACACGTACACGCCCACACTCATACCTTCTCTGAATTAAAGCTTCGATGATCAGTGATTTTCTTCAACATGAAATGTACCAGTTCTGCGCACAAGAATTCTTTAATAGTTCAAACTCGTTGAAAGTAAATCGAACAATAGTCAGGAATGGAAGAATGAGTAAAAACATTAGTAGCGTATTCGACAAAACTTAAAATCTCTTCGTTTGATTGTATTTTTTGCTTCTAATTACATTGAGGTTACTATAAATTCATCCTTTTTATTACTGTTATTTGATACAAATCATTATTTTTCTGATCTATACTAAAAGAAATTTTTACACTATTTCATGTCTTTTTCATTTTTGCTTCTATTCGATTGTACGTCGCTTACAGTCCTTTTCTACTTGTCAAAAATGCGATGTTAATGTTATTTAAACTTTTTGAAACTGTCATTAATAATCAAATCAAATGTGCAGTTGATGTGGTTTTCTTTTTTCTTGTCAAAGGAACGATATTCGTCCATGATACTAAAGCGTGTGAGGATACACCACACACTTCTCTGCAGCAAGATTCATGGTTTATGCCAATGGCCATAGCGAAACAAAATAAGTGTAATGCAATGAACGAGATTCAATAGATTTTCATTCATTTCTTTTATCGAAGCATTTCAACTTGAGAGAAGTAGAAAGGTAGCCCTTATCAAGATGAAAACAGAAAGAAAGAAAGAAAGAAAGAAAGAAAAAGAAAAGATGACAGAAATAACAGAATGGCATTACTATTGGCTCATTGTGATGGTACTTTTTTTGTTGATCTCTCCTGCTCGTTGTGTTTGCTTTTTCAAAAGAAACCAAACAAAAATAATACAATCAACGTTACGGGCAATTTTCTGGGATTCCAGAATTTCACCAATGAGACTTTCGCCAACAGGAAATTTGTCATTGGCGAAAGTCCAGTGTATTTTCGCCAATATACTTTGGTGGCTCTCGCGAATTGGCGAGAGTCTGATGTGCATTCAACAGTGTAACATGCAGATTAATAGACAACACCGAGATATATACTGATACCCATCCTCCTCGCTCATATCCAACATTTATATTCTTCTGTGGCAAATGGTAAAAGTTCATCAAACTTGTTTCAATTACTGGGAGTCCACTATACTTTCGCCAATATACGTCCAGGATATTTGTAAATTGATGAGAGCCCATTGAACTTTCGCCTTTTGCAAATATCCAGTTGGCGAAAGTCTTATTGGGAAATTCGGATAAGCCGATTTTCTTCACGAAATAAATTTCTACGCTTGCACAAATACTTCAAGCATGTACTTCAACGATGATGTTTTCTTTTCTACTTTTGAATTGACAAAACAAAATCGTAGTTTTAGTCTTCCTATCGAATCTACTTTAGAACAAGCGATACATCGACGCTACCTTTCGTTATTTATTAGCTATACACACATATATGCAATTCCCTTTCGCAAACCAACAACGCTCACTGCTATCTATTAGAATATTGTTTCGAATATATATTCCATTGGCATATATTTCTTATAGATAAAGTTGGTGATAACAGTAATTAGGCTGCCAGAATCTTTTTCTTTGCTATTGTGATCTGCTGTCAAGTTCAGTGAAATTTGAATATCAGTGAACAAAATTGTAATATGCTTTCTTCTCGAATTGAGGAACTTAAAGGAAGAGTATCAATTAGTATTTAAAAGAAAATTTCTTTTATTTCACACTAATTTCGAATGAATCTTTACGAGTAAATTGCTCGCACCGAAGAGAAAAATACGAAATTAACTGTGCTGCATGTCTCAATCGATTTCTGAGCATGAATGAATAGTTTGAATTGGCATATATTTGCACAGAAAAAGAAGCCAAACCATAATTTGGTGAGTAATAGAGTAGATCAATATTTAATCAAGAAAAGTTTGTATGCGTTTCTATACAAAAATTTTTAATGACGACTGAAGTTAAGTTTTGCCTTGTTTGCTGTATCCTTATAAGCGAAGCATACCAGAGAGTATCAAATAGGATAGTAGCACTAGCTTTTTTTATTGCAATTCCTTACTAATGATATGCGCTATGTATAACAAGGAGGAAAACCATTGTTTCGTTGTTGCTTCAATCAAAATTATATTGATTTTATGCTTCGTTCACATTAAAAGAACGCCTATGAAATTCATAGCAAAATAAAAATCAAACTACGAACATCTTTGTTCTGTTTCGTTTTT